ACGAGTATGTGACGTACAAAACTTACTAATATCAAAACTCGCCTAACGACAAACTCGAAACTCGACTATAAATATCGTACGACAAGAATACAATGCTTCCTTGTTTAGTCACGATTTAAAACAAAATATATAAGTACTAGAAGACGGGTTGACGCTAAATTTAACCATAATCGTTTGAGAATAATTACGGTTGTCGTTGCGTTGCCGTTCCGTATATTATTTTAAGTTTACTTCACTAAGTAGAACACACACTTTACGAAACGTGAGAGATGGATATTCCAATCTTATAATAATTTGTCTTAGCTGTATCTGAGCCATTATATTAATCATTATAGCTGGTATACACTCGACGTAACATTATCTAGATATTTGTGAAATTGTCTGTACACCAATCGTAACTGATAAACATAGTGTGATAGGTACAGCCCTATTTTTACATTCTTTATTCTTCTTAAAGAATCTATGGTGACATTTTATGTTTCAATCACTACATAGTATATTATATCAAAGTTGCTTTCTGTACCTGTGTATATGTAAATCATATAAACTTCGCAACTGATTGTGACTTGCATTTTTTTAATAGTGATTGAATAGGAATGTTTATATGTTTAACAACATCCATGAAATAGTGAAGACATTTAGAATCAACATCGCACCCGTGCGAAGCTGGGGCGTATCAAGAATTTTTGATAAATCAATCTATAAACAGATCTCGCTTCAACACCATTCACAAAAACATTAGCCCCTAGCCTATTTATTAGACACAGGCTTTAAAACCACGGAACGCAGATGGCGCCACAAGCGGAAATCGGTACAAAAGTAAAGAGGCTGTATGTTACACGGAAAAAAAAGATAGTTGTATTAATTATGCAAGCTAGTAACATGTAGAGTGGAACAGAACGAAAGCACATGATTTCACTTAGTTCCACGGAATAATTAGGTACTTCTAACTCGTACGTAGGTACTTGTTAAATTGTGTCTGTTATTTTACAACTGTTTTCTACAAAACTGCTTGATCGTTTTAGATTAGGTTCGGTGATGGATTACTTTGAAGGGTCAGAGCTGCGAAGCGTAACTATGGTTTTTTCTTTATCTTGATGTTTATTTAGCACAAAACTGTGCTATAAAACTTACGGTGTTGTACCCTACAGGGTCCATAATTGATCTCACACAAATAGTTACCACCTTTAAATGTACTTATGGAAAAGCAGTAGATATTGAGTATTGAGGTTCAATATTTGGGCAATTATATATTGCAGGCTGGCTCGAAACAGAAGGCACGAGGTGGTTATTAGTTAAGAGTAGTGTGATACACTTGCCTCGCCGAGTGCGGGAGATAAAAGTCAGGCATTTTGTGTTTTCAAAAAAAACCTTGCCCCACACTAGATTTTTCTCCTGTGCCGTGAGTGCGTTTAAACACTTAATTTCACATTCACATCACCCCCCAACCCGAACCAACAATTTATAGATCACACAAAGTTATTGTAATAATACTAAGTAATTGACCTTTGATATTTTATTATGGAACAAAATTTTAAAATTAGATTTTGGCTAGATGGATTACAAATGCACTAGAGGGTTTGAAGTTCGTTCGGTAACAAATAATTTGGAATTTCAATTGATTTTTTATGGATAAGTGAAAATGGTGTTAAATTGGACATTTCTTTCGAGGGAACGTTTTAAAGACTTTAGGTGCGATGTATAATCATTAAACTAAAACAATGCCGTCTAAGAAATGTTTTAATGTAACTGCTACTAAGATTTATGGTTTTTATGCATTAAATTTGTACCGTATCACATAAAACACCATACCTTCCAATACCACTAAACCATAAAATTATCGACACCCAATTTTATTGCTGGCAACACACAATTTTATTACTAACAACATTATAGTTTACGCATAAAATAACCTAATCGGTCGTAATCCCGTACAAGGCAATCCGATTTAAAGTTTAATATTTATTGAACGATCGACCATAACACCTTTTCGTTTACTTAAATCGTATTTTACAGCCATCATTCAATAAATCCGTGAATATTTGACGTTTTATAAATTTGACAGCTCAATGTCAATAGGCAATGGCCGACATAAATCCCGCCAAAAATAGAGGCGAGCATTTATTCTACTTTCAAAATGTTATATAACCTTTATTGATATTTAAATAAGTGTATCTTTGAGAATATTAATTCTTTTATGTTTTTTGTATAGTTAAGTAATATCGTTTGTGTAAATTCGTTGGTATAACCTTAAAGAACTAACCTGTTTGTTGATTTTATTACAAAATCTAAATCAATCAACACATATTTATAAGATCGACTATATTTTTGCATTTATCTTCGAGTTTCTTGAAGTACCAAATCGGCTTGCGACAAATCCTTCGGTATTTGGTTACTAATTACTTGACCTTTTTACGGAAATCCATGCATAGGTATTAGTATAATTCAATTTTGGAAAGTCACACTTATTGCTTACGAAATAAAGACGCTGCCAAGGTCGTATGCATGACCGTACACTTGTATCAACAGTAGCAAATTATCTTTTAAAAGGACATTAACTCTGCAGACATCCGTTGAAAACCGCTAATTGATGTATTGGTGGGCGCCATTAATATGATTAATACAAACAAAATGAATATACATTTCTACACTTACTACCTTTTTCCATGCAGTTTTAGTCGCACTCAAATCTTTTTCAAGGATCTTATGTTGAAATCCAACCTTAAAATCTGTGCAGTAGTTTTTAAGTACATATGTAGTAGATTGACAGACAGTCGCGAGTCGTAGTGACAATTATCATTTATAATACGTAGGAATCAATCGGTACATAACAACTACACCGTGCGAATGTGGTTACCGTAGGCCCAAATTCTCCCCCTCACCCTCAATCCTCAAATATCCTTAAATCCCTTATAATCCACAAAAGGCCAGCAACGCACTTGTATTCATTTCTTTGGGACAAAGAGTGCCCATAGACGGCGCTGATTGCTTACCATCAGGTAATCCGTTTGCTCATTTCCAAAAAAAACTAGTCTTGATAAAAACATTTTGTTTCTAATATTTCAGTCTGGCAGACGATTATTAAAAGAGGTTGCCGATCAGCAATCGATTTCTTTTCTCCAAGGCTAATGGAGGACCCTTAAAAAACCACTTACGAGTGTAAAAGTCTAGAATTATTGGCTAGACTTGGCAGCATTTCTAGTTCTATCCAGTATTAAGTGAAATACGACGATTACTTAAAAGGCAGACTAAATCCGCCAAATGCGCAATCTTAGCAGATTTCTGACGTCACATAAAACACGTTTCATAATGTATCAAAACTGTACTAATTAACAGCAATAAGGTTCATTTTCCAAAGATGTTACAATCAATTGGAGCACAAAACATTAACGTGTTGCAGACGTAACCTTGATTACAAAAATAGACTCAACTGGTTTTAGATCAAAAGAGATTTTTATTTTGGAAACAGTGTTATGAAGTTGGTTCTTCAATCTTCACTAGTCGAGTGGGATATTGTATGTGTTCTTGGGAAGGGAGATCTAGAAGGAAAAAGAAGGATAAAGCATAGGTTAGTTACAGGATAGTCTAATTGACCTACGTATGTTTCGGTAAAAACGGCAACTTTTGGCTGCAATTATAACCAATCTTCACCTAAATGCATTTCTGGATCGATTTGGGACAGTTTTTGCAGAAACTGGATAGAACTAATGTAAAAAATCGATCTCAATCCACGGGTTTAGAATAAATAGAAAAATATTAGCTAGGTACTAAAAAATTAGGTATAAAACATGTAAACAAAACCTTTCTCATATATCAACACTTGAAACCAGTTCTAACTCCCATAATAACGTCATTAAACATTCTCATTTTAATAATTTGTAACAAATTCTCAGAAAACATAGCAAGCATCAAATGGTAAACATTGACAATGCGGAAAATTCCGCCATTTTTATAGAGCTCGAATTACTCACTGAACGTTAATTCCAGATTCGAAATTCAAATCCATTATACCACCTTTTTATTGTAAACCTCGTTCGATCTAGCCAATTTCATTCGATTCCATTTGAAATATTCAAAACGACATATTTAAGGTTTGGCAACCCTGAACAGTTTTAACATGTCCAGACTAACACGTGGCTCTAATAAAGTAGTTATTTAATACAAGAACGCCATGACAGATGGCCGAACCACTGCGTACAATAACAGTTATATTAAAATATAGAAGTTATGACATTAACAACATAACACTGAAGTGTAATGTTAAGCATTTAGCTATAATTACTTCATTAAAACACATTATAATAATGAATTTACACAGAGTTTGTTGATCTAGTGTAAATAATCTTAAGGACACGTAAGATATCGGCTATGGACTAAGGAAACATTAACGAATGTGAAAAATATAATAGCACATCCTTTTTTGGGCATGATGAGCTAAAAATTTGATTTTGGTATCGACAAACTGACAGAATAACAGCTCTATGTGAAAATGGGCAAATTAGCACTTAGCTGCTAGTCTCCAAACAAAACATAAAAAGACCAACAGTTTGATAACCTTTTTTCCGACGTTTAAAAATAAAAAAATTTGGGCTCATTATCAGCCATGATAAGTTAAGATGCTTAATTTCACGATGAATGCCATGGGGACATTGGAGATCTCCCTAGAGGAAACTTTAAGAAGCCCTCAACAATTTTATAGGCAACCACTTAATAGGTAGTGGAAATAAGCCTTTGACTGTCAACGAATATTATTGAAGGCTGATTCCTCCGCTAGCGTCGAAGACCATTGTCCAAAATAGCGTTCGTTAGCGTTTTCCAAAATCTCTAGATTTTTGTCATATAACCAATTTTGTAACGCCCAAAATCGGCATCAATACAACGTATTTGGAATAATTTTGGTCGTGAAATATTTCTAGATAAGATTCAATATACCTTTTATCTGTTCCAGAATTCGTATATCTACGTTAAATACTAAAATAATGTACGAAAATAAAACTTACCGGTGTCCTCCTAGATAGCAGAGTACCAACGGGACTTGGTATCTTTGTGGGCGTCCCAGCGAGCGGGCTGCGGGCTGTCAACAAACAATATGTGTGTCACTGATAATGTACTGTACTGCTGTTATATTTATACACATGTAACCAACATAGAAGTTTGTAATTGTAGCTCTTTACTCCAATATAATGTTTTGAGTTTCTTTAAAAAGGTTGAGGCCATAAACGAAAGTTAAGTTTTATCTAATATAGTAGATTAGTGTCTGTAGCCATTAAGGCCTCATTATAAAGTTACAACTTCTAAATTCTATGAAGTTATTGATAGATGCACTCTTCATCAGGTTTTTTTACTTAACAGTTTTTTTTAAAGAAGAGATCAACAAACGAACAGGCTGATTACCAGATGGTATTGGCACTACCCATGGATATCCAACATCGACGGTTTAACAATTGGGGTATTAGGTTTGTGAAATATTCAAACATTTCTTTACAAATAAAAAAAATACTTTTGTTAAAATTCTTTGAAGGGCTTACTAGTGCATTGTCAATGCTTTGTTATTAGTCCCGGGTAGAAAGAGGGGTGGTGTTATCGACATGCGTAGAACACAGATCCAATAATATTTTCCGGCTTCAGAAATCGAAATTGACAACATGAACCTAAAATATATTCCTCCACAAATGCTCAATATGTTTTATTATTTTGCGAAAGCCAAAAAGTGAAAACGTTTTAAAGAGATTAAAAAAGAGATTTCGCAACCGAAATGATGCTCAACCAAACCAAGACTTGGTCCTTAAACACAACATATGCAATCTCTGTACTATTGCAGAAGTCTTCTAATGCCCATATTTAGTTCCAAAAACTAGTAATTTACCTCCTAAACACCATATTGCATCACACACATCATAAGTTGACCTTAGCGTGCTATATTGCCATAACGACCCCCAAAATGTCTACAATTTTCTACAGCAACTGAGTCGTTTATTGCAAATTCGGACTGTACCCATCACGATAATGTATATTTTCTAGGTTTCGTCTAAATTTTATATTATAAAGCTGAAGAGTTTCTCAGTTTGTTTGAACGCGCTAATATCTAGAACTGCTGGTTCGAATTGGATACATAATTATTTTTGTGTTCGTAAGTCCATTTATCGAAGAAGGCTTTAGGCTATAAAACTCATGCTACGATCTGTAGGAACCGACCAGCAAGTGAAACCGCGCAAAAATATCTAGTGTAAGAACAAATGATGTAGTAGACAAGACAGTTTTTAAGAGATTATGCATACTTTTAGCCAGTCATAGGCTCATTTTGATATACAAAGTCCGGGAGGTTTCTAATTGCGCTCCCTTAGATTTTCTTCAATAAAAATAAATATTATTATATTTAAAATTTTCGCGTTGTATATCAATACTTTACTGTTTTACGGGATTTAACAAATAAAATAGGAACGTGCGCGTTAATCCCGTAAAATAGTAAAGTAACAATATACATCTCGTATACGAACATTCGCAAAACATTGGCGTATTTTCCTATCATGCTTTTACAGATAATTTCTCTTTGAACAAAATCATACAGCATTATGGCGTATTCTTAGTCTAGTTACCGACCTAAAAAAACTATTCTAGAAACCCGTGGGCTGACAGTTCAACCCAGCAACAAATGTAGGACGTCTAGAAGAAAAATATTGTGAGAATAAACGTATAGTTTGCATAATACTGCCCACACTTCATGGTCATTATGTTAATGTAATAGGAACCGATATGGACATGTTGTGGCTTGCTGACAACCGCATAGAACCTCCATACTTGTTTTTTCTCAAGATACCTCGTATATGTACTTACATTTAGTACTCGCGTCAGTAAGGTTATGTAACAAGAATATTATAATTTCACAAGAAGAGGCAGGTGGAGTTAAGATAGCGTAAACAATTTTCTCAGCTAGTTATCGGAAAACCTCAGGCACAACTTAGAGCTCATGTTACTGGCAGAAAATCTTAAAAGCTAGTCTCAAAAAAATGTATATATGTACTTTATTATTTTATAAGAAATCATAGACTCAACGAGATTAAACAGAGCCAAAAATTCGAAAATCAAATAAAACCTTTTTTTCCATCAAGCATATATAGTATAAACTAGCTTTTTGCCCGCAAATTTCACTGCGTTACACGATTTTGGTACCCTCTTAACTGATAGCTGGAATGAATAGGTAATGAGTCACAGATGAAATGTTCCAAACATATGTGGTATCCATCACGTCTAGTTTTCGAGGTACAGTCAATTATTTTTTCTACTACCCTCACTTTAGGCGTAAAAGAAATAGTAGGCTAGTGTCCTCCAGTGGAATTCCATAGACTGATGATGATGATGACGAAGATCAGCAATAAACTAATACGTAGATTTAACGACACGACAGCTGGTTAACGACATGTTAAAGGCATACGAAAAGTTGGATTGCAGAATGTCATTAAAAATACACTTTCTTCATTCTCATTTTTCTTTCTTTCCATCTAATCTTGGTGCGGTCAGTGATGAGCAGGGTGAGAGGTTCCACCAGGATGTAAAGAAGCTTGAGGAACGATTTCAAGGGCGTTGGGACACAACCATGCTAGGTGATTACTGTTGACATTTAAAACGAGAAGATCATTCAGAGCACAAAAGAAAAAGTTAAATTTTCATGATATTTTGTATTAAAATTTTATAAAATGGTTTTTTTTTGAGTTTTTTTTACCTAAATGATAAAATTAAACTTGATGAATGTAAAAAATTCTGGTTGATTTTATTAGATTTCTTTAAAATATGTTTTTGCCTTTTAATTTTTAATATAAATTGGCACATTCTTACAGAAGAAAAATGAGACGTGATGAAAAGAAAATTTGTATGTATGTTTAATAAGCGATAGGTATAAATAAGAAAACATGACATTTCAAAGCGGGTACTCAAAATTTTTTTTAATTTGTAACGCAGTGTTTTTGGTTTAAAAACCCTAAACTATGTCCTTTCTTGAGTTCCAAACCATGTCTGTATCAAATTTCACACAAATAGGTTCAGTAGTTTAGGCGTGAAGAAGAGACTGACAGACAGAGTTACTTTCGAATTTATAATAGGTAATAGTTTGGATTACAAACAAAGTCATTTTGCAGATGGCCAATTAAAACATCTTTTTCTTTTTTCTGAACCATCCTTAAGTCACATGACTCTTTAAAACAAATAGGGCTAGTCTACATAGCCAATTTATAGCAATTTGGATTAAGTGCATAATTTGTATCCTACTAATATTAGGTATGAATGTTAAAGTGAGAATGTATTTATGTGTTTGTTATAATTTCACGCAAAAACGACTGGACTGAATTAGTTGAAACTTGGTATGTCAAAAGATGAAATCCTGAATTACAACTAAGGCTGCTTTTTATGAACACACCACGCGGGCCAAGCCGAAGCCGCTAGCCAGTGAACTATATTAATACAAGATGGCAAAACGGATCCTTAAAAAAAGTAGTCTGACTTAGCAACTACCTTCATTGAACACCAACTTTATATTCTACCATCGCCAGGACTGCACCATCAAGTAATAGAGCAACGGTGAGGTACTTTAATAACTCATTTCCTTAATACAACACTTAATGTTTACTGAGAAACGTTCACATTAATGTTTGCTTTTGCAATGCCCTGCATGACATGACGCCCTTTTTCTGTCTAGAAGGATGGATTGAGTTGTACTAGTAATATGTCTCTTTTTGCCAGTATCATTAAACTTAATTACAATTCTACGACTAAACAATATTTTATTGGGTTATTGCGATAACTTTGTAGAAATCCAAACCGTTTCAAAAAATCATAAGACAGTTATGATTAGGATTTTATGCTGTTTCGTGGTTGCGTTTACGAACATACACAAGCCAGAGAGTCCCAAAATAATAATTTGTGGATCACACAAAGTGTTGTTTCGTGCGGGAATCAAAAACGCGACACGTTGCACAACAGCTAGTTGCCCATCCACTGCGCCAATATAAAATAATACGCAGTCGAATGTAATTAAATAATACTATCGAAAAAACCACCCACAAGGGGCTTGTGTTTGGCAATGAGTTCTGTCAAAAGTGTAGATCGATTCAAATTGTATTTAATTAAACATCGTTTATTGATCTCGCTTGTATTCTGTACACAAACATTCGGTTAATAATCTAGAAGCAATTTAAAATGGTCACTGTTTGCTCGACAATCCTTATTAATTCCAGCCGGGGTTGCGGTTGCATGGGCAATTACGTACCGCAGCCCTGTTCGAAGCAGAATACTCTTCTCTGGGGTGGTATTTACTCAGTAAGAGTCTGACACTCCCTCTCGTCTCGTATCTGATGTGGATCAATTGATAATTTTCCTCCTTAAAAAACCCATATTATCTAAGTCCCGAAATCTTCCAACGACCATATTCATGATCATTTAATAGCTATTCAACGCAGTCTTCGTATATCTTCTAATAATTACTAAGGAATAGTCTAAGTAATCATTAAACGTCTCTGAGTATGACTAGACTTTAAAACGGACCAATAAAATAACAATTCAAACTTATGCACCTGATGCTTTTAAAATGCAGTAAAGCGGTTCACCTTTAGACAATCGACATGCGGTAATATCATTTGGACTATTATCGGGAATAAAGTATGTAGTTCCATAAGTATTGTAATGACTGTAAAATATGGTTCATCCTTGAACTTCAGACAAACAATTTTAATACAACCATTTTATTCATTTCCATTTTAACTGTATAAAAGATAGCCTTTACTACTGTTCTTCATACTTTTAAGAATCTATACTTATCTATACTTCTATAGAATCTATACTAATATTAATACTTAATATTATAAAGAGGAAAAATTTGTTAGTTTGTATGTTTGGATGTAGGGGGTAATATTTGGAATCGCTTGTCGGATTGGCTAAATTCTTTTACTGATAGATTTAATACACACAGCTACAATGTTCCTGAGTGCTATAGGCTATAAAACATCTCCTACGACCGATAGAAGCCCAGAGCAGCTGAAACCGCGGATATAGCTAGTAATTTATTATATATAATTTAATAAGAAG